ACAAAAATGTACATACGTGTAGTATGAGTACACCATAATCGGTACCCAGTAAGTATCAAGACTTACCTCAGTAGAGTAGTGACGAGGTACAGTCAAGACTCTCACTAGTCTAATAACATGTGCAATATAGTATACAAAAATAATAGGAAATAAATAACAATGATGGCAACAATAATCCACCAGTGGTATACACAACAGGGCAACAAGAACACCATAAATATTACTCAATAAATAATAAATAGAAGTACAACCAATTAAATCAAGTCCTTCAAATATAAATCTTTCGACTATATGCTTCTCAAATAATACTCTTTAGAAATAAAATTCTTTCACATAAATCTCTTTCTAATATAATTACTTCAAATAGATATTATTTCGAATATAATCCTTTCAAATAAAAGTTACCTTGTGACACCTCATCTCATAATCATATAAAATACGGGTCTCAGCCCACTTTCATATTTCCACGGCACTCTGTGCCCATATCTCTATCACAACCGCAAGGATAACTCTCGTACCAAATATGTTTATACATAAAATCCGCACGATTAATTTATTTTCAATAAAGTAAGGTTATCATTTTTAAACCGAGTAAGAATTCAACAAAGAAATGAGTTTATTTTAGAAATATTTGGAGTGAAGAAAAATGACATTTCAATTTAAATAAAACATCAGATGATCTATTACTTCGGATGTAAAACTTATTAATTTCAAACATAATAGTAACTTCTTTTATTTAAAACAACTCAGTCATAAATATCAATAAAACCAGGAATATAAATCTTCAGAGTATCGTACTAAAAAGCCCAAGCCAAGACAATACAACAAGGAATACAAACACATAATAAAATCAAATAATACATCACGGCAACTCACAAGGATTTTTCTATCACGGGAATACAAAATAACCAAAAGTAAGTGCAACCATAGAGAGATGTCAACAAAAGGTCACTCCCGAGATATCGTCTCGTAGTCCCAAAAGTAAATGCTCAACAGGGAATCTCTCGAGGTACCGCCTCGTAGTCCCAAAAGTATATATGCAAAACATGGGGATCTCCTGAGGTAGCGCCTCGTAGTCCCAAAGTAAATATGCAAGACGGGGGATCTCCCGAGGTACCGCCTCGTAGTCCCAAAGTAAATATGCAATAAACAACAATGTCCTCAGTCTATTTTCCAAAATAATTCTATTTTCTAACTTTTGCCAAAATGCGTCGAATTGACCTACGGACTTCCAAATCTAAATCCGAATATACGCCAAAGTCTTAAATCATCATGCGAAGCTATTACCATCATCGAAATTCCATTATGGGGTCGTTTTCTCAAAAGTCAACTCTCCGGTCAACTCTTTCCATTTAAGATTCTAAATAAGAATTGTTCTTTTAATTTAATTTTGAATCTTCCAAAAAATCAAACTCGACCACACCCGCGGGTCATAATACATATTACGAAATTGTTCGAGACCTTAAGTCACTGAACGGGGTGTTAATTCTTAAAATGACAAGTCGGGTCGTTACATTATCCCATCCTTCCTTTACTATCTCCAGGAATTTAGGATGTCGTGCCCATGTATTACAAAACTTAAAAGGTCTATTCCTTGGTAATGGAGCATTAACTAGGTGAGCACTAATAGGACAGTGAGCACATACTCCTTCCGGCAAGAAAGTAGCATTATATGCATGCATTCTATCTAGCCAATCTCTGTTGACAAACACCTAATCAATCTTAGAAAAGATTCTTTGATCTCCACTTTTGTCATTCCATGAGTACCTATTTCCATTATGTGGCATTTCAATTAAACCACATGTATCTACACACTCCTAAAAATCTCTAGTTTCCCCTACATTTATAGGAAGAACTCTTACTCTGTCATCCAATCTCAATACTGCATTAAAATCACCCATGATGATCTAAGGTTCCTGACACCCTTGGCATGTAATATTCAAGTAGTTCCAGAGCTCTTTCCTTTCCTCTGTACTGTTGAAAGCATACACTACAATAATGAGAAAAGACCTTTGCCCAGTAACATGATGCACTCTGCATGTAATTACTTGAGTTGTCTTGCTCTGGACATTAATCTAAAAGTAGTCTGGTATACAAGTGAGACACATCCTCCCATTATAGTGCATATCTAAATTGGTTAAATAGTTTCAACCACCAAACATACTACTTGCTACCTTTTCTATTTTATTAACTTTTACTTAGGTTTCTAGCAGTCCTATCAAACCAGCTTCCTGCTTATTGCAAAAGAGTTTAACCTCCTTTTTCTTATTAGGACCACTAAGTCCTCTTACATTCCAGCAAAGTAGACTATTCATTCCCCAATCTAGGAATAAATTTGCCTCCCACAGTGTTAGCCACACCATCTTGTAGTTGCTTACTTGTCCCTGATTCTGCCAGCACTTGAAATGTGTTGCATGTTGCCTTCCCTGTCTGTCGAGTGCTATGTGATTGTTGTTTACTTGTATGCATTGGTGTGATCTATCCATCATTTACCTTGCTCTTCATTTTTCCATTCATTTGCTTATGACTTTTGACACTCTCATCTGATTGTTGTTATTGTTGTTTCCCAGTCTGTCCTATGCTATGATCCATTCAAGATGAAAGTCAACAGGTTGTTAATGCTAATGTTGTAACTGACAAGCTTGATCCTTTGGTTATGCAGGCAGGGCGAGGCCAAGCACAGGCAAAAAATAGTTTTTGCAATCATTGTAAGATGAAAGGCCACACTAAAAAGAACTATTACAAAATCATAGGTTATCCATCTGATTTCAAGCAAAAAAAGAGGTATGGTATTGGCAGTTATGATGGCTGGAACCCTCCTAGTGGTGGACCTCATGAAGGATGGAGGAAGGAGCCCTTAGCTGCTGCTAATAGTGCAGATATAGCATCATCTTCTCAAATTGCTGGGAATCACAAAGCATCAGAGCACAAATGATTGTTCTTCATACTTGAACAATATAATCAAATTCTGAACTTGCTGAACAAAGATTTTGGAGATCATCATGCTAATATGGCAGGTATTGTCACTTGTCTAATGTCTAATTTCAAACAACAAAGGGAATGGCTTGTAGACTCAGGAGCTCTCACCATATCACCTCTAGTTTAGACCTATTGAATGAAAGTAATCACACTGCCGAGATAAGTACAAACAAGGTTCATTTGCCAACATAATGACAGAAATATATCACACATGTTGGTACTGCAAAGTTGTTCAAAGGGGAGATCATTAGCAATGTGCTTTATGTACCCGACTTTAGCTAAAAGAATAAAAATAGTGCATGCAATAGAAAAAGCAAGAAGGGACAAATTTTGGCATATGAGGCTGGGACACCCTTCATTGTCAACTATGAAGAACATAGTAGAGCTTCAAGACAACATTAGTAATAGAGTACAAAATAAATGCCATATATGTCCTTTGGCAAAGCAAACTAGGCTACCGTTTCCACTTAGTTCTTCTAGAGCTGAAGCTCCTTTCAATCTTGTATATATGGACCTTTGGGGACCCTATAAAGTTCCTACATTTGATAGAAAGCATTATTTACTTACTATTGTGGATGATCATACTAGATACACATGGATTTATCTGTTGTAGTTGAAGTCTGAGGTAATTATAGTGTTAAAACAGTTTGTGACAATGATTAAAAATTAGTTTAACACTATGAGCAAGATATTGAGAAATAACTTGGGATTATTCATCAAGTTGGGATTATTCATCAAGTTTAACACTAGATACACATTAACTTGGGATTATTCATCAAAGCAATTGTCCCTACACTCCACCGCAAAATGGCATAGTAGAAAGGAAGCATAGACACATCTTTGATACTGCTAGAGCCTTAAGGTTTCAAGCATCCATTCCTCTAAGATATTGGGGCATATGTATGAAGGTAGCAGTGTACTTGATAAACAGATTTCCCTCCACTATTGTGTCAGGAAGCACACCATATGAGTTGTTATATCACATAAAGGCCAAGCTAAGTCACCTTAGGATTTTAGGTTGTCTCTGCTATGCAACTAACTTGGTCAAGTGACATAAGATTGCACAAAGGACCAAACCTGCAGTGCTACTTGGCTTTTCAGAGACACAGAAATGTTACCGTTTGCTAGACTTAGCTTCTAGGCTTTTCTTTGTCAGTAGGTGTGTGATTTTTTAGAGAAACAGATTTTCCATTAAGATCATAGACTTTGTTAGGTTATACAATTCCTCCTGATACTATTTTCCCAAATGCCATCTTGCTCCATCATTTGCAGGATGTAACAGCTACGCCAGACATGGCTAGTCCATCAGAGGTGAGAGAAGAGGAGGTTGGTCAGGACAATATAGTTCCTAATTCATAATGCCAAGATAATGAGATCCCCGAGGCAGACAATTCAATTCTGGAAGACACCTCTAGAGCAAATGACACTCCAACTACTACTAGTGCTGAGGAGAATGATAACATTCCATTTGTTGCTGCTCTTATTGCAGATGACATTACATCTGCCCCTACTATTGTGCCTACTAAAACAAAAGCAAAAACAAAATCAATCAGACAAGGCAAACAACCTATATGGAGGAAGGATTATGTCACTAAAACCAAGCCTAAGTCACATTGCAGCTTGTATCCTCTATCAGATTACTTGTCCTATGTAGGTACCTATGTCAAATATCAGAGTTATCTTGTAGATTTATCTTCCTTGGTTGAACCACAGAGCTTCAGCGGGGCTGGTAAAGACCTCAGGTGGATTAAGGCAATAAAATAAGAAATTACAGCACTTGAAGAAAGCAAGACTTGGGAGATAGTTGACTTGTCTAAAAGGAAGAACATTGTGGGATCATAATGGGTGTACAAGATCAAATTTCTGGCAGATGGGGAAGTAGAGAGGTTCAAGAAAAGATTAGCAACATCAAAAGGATGTGATTTATTCCAAATGGATGTTTATAATATATTTTTGTAAGGTGTCTATGTGAGGAGGTATACATGGAGATACCATAAGGCTTTAGAAGTCAGGGGGAGAAGATGGCGTATAGATTGCTCAATTCCTTGTATGGACTCAAGCAATCATCTAGGCGGTGGAACATTAAGTTAATTGAAGCCTTGATTGGTGCATGTTTCACTCAATGTAATCATGACTACTCTTTGTTCACCATGAGAAAGGGTGAGGATGTGGTGATTATTTTTGTATATGTAGATGATCTACTTATAACAAGAAGTAGAAATGAACTTGTGAGTGTCGCTAAAAGCATACTGCATGACAAGTTCAAAATAAAATACCTAGGGGAGCTTAAGTACTTCCTGAGCATAGAAGTCCTAAGATCACAACAATGCATTTTATTGAATCAAAGGAAATATGTACTTGAGTTGATTTCAGTAATGAGACTCGGTGGAGCAAAGCCTTCTGCCACACCACTGGAGACAAACTACAACTTGACTACTATGGAATATGATAAGGTAGTGGGAACAACAAAAGACTTGCCTTTGCAGGATGTTTGTGCTAATCAGAGATTGTTAGGGAAGCTGCTATATATGACTATCACCAGACCTAATACTAGCTACACAGTGCAGACACTAAGTCAATTCATGCAAATGCCTATACAATTACATTGGGAAGCTGCAATCAGAGTGGTTAAGTATCTTAAGAATGCACCTGGTCTAGGTGTGTTTATGAAGGCAGAACCAACACAACATCTTACTTGTTGGTGTAATTCTGACTAGGTTGCTTGTCCTAACACTAGAAGGTCTATAACTGGATACATTATTAAGTTTGGTGAATCCTTGGTGTCTTGGAAGTCCAAGAAGCAACAAATTATCTCCAGAAGCTCAGTAGAGGCAGAATATCGAAGCATGACATCTATTGTAGCTGAAGTAACATGGTTACTTGGTCTATTTCAGGAGTTGAGAGTTAAAATTACATAGCCCGTCATGGTTTATAGTGACAGCAAGGCCGCTATGCAGATTGCCGCAAATCCAATCTTTCATGAACGTACTAAACATATCGAAATTGATTGCCACTTTATTAGAGATAAAGTCAAGGAAGGGGTCATACGCACAGATTTCATTGAAACTAAAGATCAGTAGGCAGATTTATTGACAAAGGGACTCAGCAAGGTACAACACTTCCATTTGATGGGCAAGCTGGGAGTACTCAATATTTTGCACCCTCCAGCTTGAGGAGCTTGAGGGGGAGTATTGACATATAACATAAGGACATGTGGCAACATTTGTATAGACCAATTAGTTAGTTAGTTAAATGCAGTTAGTTAGTTGGCTAGAATAGTAACATTATGTCCAGCTGTATCTTAGCTGTCAATAGTCGGTTAGTGATGCTGTTAGTGAGTTAATTTGTATATATAGGTGTTCACACTCAGATAATGAAGTTAGTTATCATTTTTCCAATGCAGTCTCTTCTCTCTTCTCTCTCATCGTACTAGTTAACTCCATTAGAGAAGCTTCAAGCTCCATTAGTTAAGGTCGTATTTTAGCATTTTCTCGCACTCGTACTTTATGAGAGCTTAGTACATCAAATTTCTTTTATGTTGAAAAGAGGGAGTAGTAGATGCAATATTGAAGATGATAACAAAAAATGCAAGGAGGTCTTTGTTTATAAGGGAGTTATAATTTCACAAAATATAGAAATATCATTTATCTTCCATTTGTAACCAAACTACATTAAAATCCTACAAAGCAACAAACTTACCTATGGTGCATGAATTAATTTCTTTCCTCCTTATTCAATCTAGCTCCCGTCATGGACAAAGCTAGAGTGTCGGGAATGAGTTTAGTCAAACTCAATGGATTTAGCTTAAACCTTTGTATTTACCTTAAAAAATTCATTGAATATTTATAAATTATTAACTTAATACCCAGTAACTTAAAAGAATTAGAATTCCGAAGCCATAAACTTGATATTCTGACTCCACCTCTAGCTCCGGCTAATCACTGCCTCTTGTAGATTTCCTATCAGAGGTGTCAAATGGAGGGGATGACAAAATTTGAAGATACTAAAATAAACTGAATCGATAAATAAGTAAGTTATGATGATATGTGTCCAGCTCAATACGTCCAAATTTCGTAGGCTAAATTTATCAGTTTATGTCTTGTTCAATATTTTAACCTTCATACTCACTTTTTAAACACGTCACACTTTACAACAATCCTCCGAAAGAAAGAGAAAACGAGAAAAAAGAAGAAAATTTGAAGAAGCAAACAAGAGTAATTGATTTCTTGAATTTGGGTGAGAAAATTCTTTAATTACCCAAAAAAAGAGTATTTGAAACTTAAAGGAAGCTTTCTGTTGCATATGAAAACTATTGGGGTGCAATACGTAATTATTTCCAATTGGGAAGAGTGAAATAGACGAAGCAGGAAAAACCGCACAAAGGAAAAAAAGAAGAAGAGGAGAAACACACAAATAGCGCAACGTACAAGAAGGTTGAAGCCCAGCAACGGCAACAGCCTTTTCTTCTTCTTCAGTCAAGTAAGCTGAAAACCCTTCTCTCTGCTTTCTTCTTTTCATTTTCTTAGTGATCCTATGAAGTTTTTTCACTTAGAAAATTTGTCCCCTTTTTATTCAGTTTTTATTAACTTTTCAAAGAAATTTTTTGTATTGCATCAAATTCGTTTCAATTATTGAATTTGAGTCAAACCCTTTGAAGCATATATGCTTGTTGTCTCAATTAGTAAAAGGGTACTAACTAAATGTCTCATTTTTATACTTTCCAAATTTGTCTTATTGAACTGTATATTATGCATTAATTGGTACATTCAATATTTCACTATTTTGAACACTCATTTTATTTGTGTTGTACAAAATGGTAGATTGCAGTTTAGTTTGATAGCTTAGTTGTATTACATATACAGTGTTTTGTATTATTTTTTCATATTTTTTATGATTCGCCGTATACATGTGCGGAGCGGATGTAGATAACAGGCTACGGGCTCAACTGCAATCAGTAACTTTAATACGTAGCTTAGATAAAGATGTAAAAGATTTCCAAAATTTCAATAAATATTTTATTTTGAATTCATAATTTTAAATGTGCAGTAGATTCAGTGGTAAAAACATTAATATTGAACCCATCAAATTAAAATCCTGGATCCGCCTTTGTATATGTGATTTCCATAGCGTTACCATATCCATTTGCACTAAAGCATTGGCAACTATTTAAGGGGTTCAAAAAGTTTCAATTTTTAATGATGGTTATGCTAATTTTTTCCTTTCCTTTTGTTATTGTAGATCTTTATAGAGTTTTACTGATCAATTAGTGCTTCAAGGGGCTTTTGATGGATAGTATTGTAGATGCACTGAACAATGCATATCAAGATTTTGTTGCAGCAGCTGCCGCTGCACTTGAATCAAAGGAGAGTTCAAATGGTCAGAAAACAGTAGCAACTGATGCTGCATTAGAAAACTTTAAGCAACGATGGGAGTTGTTCAGGGTTGCTTGTGATCAGGCAGAGGAGTTTGTTGAGTCAGTTAAACAAAGAATAGGTTCCGAGTGTCTTGTGGATGAGGCTACGGGCTCTGTTTCAGGGAAGCCTGGGCAGTCATCAGCAACAAGTGGCCTTCAACCCATTAGTGCTGTTAGATTGGAGCAGATGAGTAAAGCTGTCAGATGGCTAGTGATAGAATTGCAACATGGTTCTGGAGAGAGTAGTGCTTCTACACACCCCAACCCTTCTGCTCCTTTTGATGCTAGATTTACTGAAGATGCCACTCAATAGGTATACTGAAATTTTGCTGATACTTTTTCCTCTTTGTTGTCGTTGACTATCCTAAATAATCTGGGAACAAATTTTGTATTGTTTAATGAACTATAAGTAAATAGGCTTTGTTTCCTGGACTCGATGAAGCAATTAAGTTCTGGAATGGTTCCTTGAAGAATCTGACTCCTATGTAAGAGCTGCTGTCACATTTTACTCATAAGTGCATATAATTCCGCGTGTACTTTTATCTATCACAGCTTCATAGTAACAATTTGCTTCAGCAGTTTCTATGTCCGATTCACTCATGTTTTCTTCTTCTTTTAGTGTCTGGTTTGCTTGTTCATTAATGATTGAGGAGTTCTTTTCTCCTCCCTTTCAACAAGCAAGACTAAAGACCTGTCTTGCTTTTAAAATGCTTCATATTAAAAGATGCTTCATATTGTATATTTGTTTCGCAAAAGAACATGGTCGTATACTCCTATATTTAGGGTAGTATGTGTTCCCATCTTATGGGGTGTCTGACAAGAAAGGAAATTAAGGGAAGGAAGTTGATCCGTCAAGTTATAAAATGTGGGAGGGTACATAGGCTGAACTTTTCGTTAATGTGTTACTCGTGATGAAAAGGAACAAAGTGTAAACAAGAAATAGGCATGATCGTCTTTTCCCTTGCATTTTCCTTGATGCCACACATGACACGGCCACACGCATGCGTGCACGCACACACACATATATATCATGTAATATATACAAATCTACAGCCGCAGCATGTTGAATTTATTTTAACTAGTCAGTTGTGATGGTGGGAAATTACTTTACTTGGGCGTGCCATTCAACCTTGAAATACAATAGAGAGATACAAAATCGCCTATTTTAATTAAGAGACATCAAAATATGTAAAGTTCTTCCCTTTAGAGGACAATAAATGCAAAGTAACTTCCTTAAAAAGGAGATAAATCAACTTCTTTCAGATGCCTACCTTGAGCTTCTCATTTTTTGAAATTGCTCCATTGTGTTACGACCTTATAGAAAAGAGGGTTGATAACATAAGCGAAGAAAGTGAAGAAAATTAAATCTTAAATTATTGAATAACAAGAGCTAGAATTACGTCTTAACATATTGATATTTAGAAGTTTGGTGTAGTTAGTTGGCGCTGCTTGTGTAAAAGCATGGGGAGTATGCAGACTACGTTTTGCAACATTGTGATTGCCTCTAGGTTATGGTCCTTGATAAATCAATACTCGACATTCAATGGCTGCTCCATTGCATGGTGGCGGAGATGACATCTCCTGTTATATTTTTTGTTGTTGTTGAGGGAAAGAAATAGGATAACTTTGAAGGGGTCGCGAGTTTGTGGTCGAGAGTCGAATGGAATACCTATTTATGTCGATAGTTGGCTAAGATTTTAAGGGAGGCAAGTATGCACTCACAACAGAATTCTGGAAAGATAGAGACCAACTTGGTATAGTATTAATGATTTTTTTTATTTATCTAATTTTCGTATCTGACGATGACATCTTATCAGTCTTAACTAGCCAAACTTCCTGATTGCAATGTCTAGTTTTTCTTCTTGTAAAGAATATGAATTTATATCGCTTGTGGAAGTGGCTAAGGGTATTGGGGCTTCATTTACTTTATTAATTGATAAACAAAAGTTCTACTTGTCAAAAACGTTAATAAACAAAAGTTTTAGAGTTCCTCTAAAGTAGCTAGCTAGTGCGATTAATCCCTTAATGGTACCTACATGTTTCTTCACTCCCCCTTGGCATGAGACCTCTTTTTCTTTAATTTTAAATTATCATTGTTTGAAATTTTGCTTGTTTTATTTGGGACTGGCCCCGCAGACGGTACTAGTATTATACCACTTATTGTATTTGGTACCAATATTATACTATTTACTCCTTCAAATCCATTCTACGTGACGCTCTTTCCTTTTTGGTCTATTCTAAAAAAGATTCATCCTTGCGGTAACATACTAGCATGACTTAGAGGAAAACATACTTGGTTAAGAAAATTAAAATTTTATGGATTGGAGAGGACAAATATTGATGATAATACTCTGAGCAAGCTTTTTCAATTCAAAATCACTTCTCGTTACTACCTGAAACCTTGCGACATTGTAATGATAATTGTTCATGCATCATTAATCCTTGAGGGGAATGTGCAGAAAGAGTGCAACAGCAGGCACTTAAAATAATTGGACTTATTTTCTTATATTTGGAAATATGTTAGTTAACTGGAGCCCGCACATAGCGGGAGCTTAGTGCGCCGGGCTGCCCGTTTTTTAGTTAACTGGTCTTGTATCAGCTCCTGGTTGGGAGAAAAGTAATAGAAGCTAACAAAATCTCTTAGTAAGTTATCTTCCATCAAAACATATTACTGTGAGTAACCACAAGTTTTTGCAGCAATTATATACTATGTTCACATTGTTTAAACTAAGTTTGTCCTCACATTTCAGATAGACAAATGAAACTAGAATAAGCATGATTGCTTTGTATTCTATGCTTGTCCTTAAAAAGCAAAGAGCAATGATTAACTCTGACTGTTTTCAGGTGACTGGCAAAGACTGGTAAACAGGCAGAGACAAACAAACAGATCAGCTATGCCTCAGTAAGCCGCTAAAGTTGTACGTTGGTTGTATCAAATCATGTTGTAACGCTGTAGAACTGCTCCGATATTTATTTCTATTGCAGCAGGAGCCACCCCACTGTTAGGTGTTATTCAGATTTCAAAACCACGTGCCCGTATGTGTGTGTGTGTGCATACAAAATGTACACAGGCTATATTCATGTGCCTGCTATATATTACAGTTACACTTTTGAAGTTTGTTTGTACTTACAAAAGTGGTATGTCATATTGTCGTTGAAAAAGGCTCCAATGTGTTGTTTGTTATAGGTGTTCTTGATTTATATATTCTTGAATGATGATACCATAGAGGTATAATTGCCTTTCCTAAAGAAATATATCTTAGGCATTGCAAAGTGTCTTGTTTTGTAAAAGTGTTAACCCTGATGAACTCAGTCAGTAGGATTTGAAGACCCTGGAATTGCTGCAGCAGAATCTTATGATGTTTTGAGTGTAATAAGACGCTTTAGCTTACAACTAAGTCTCAATTTCAAGCAATTTTAGCTTACATGTAAGTCTCAATTCCAAGCAAGTTCAGGTTGACTATATGAATCTTCACTGTCCATCTCGTCCTATTTAAGTTTGTTTCAGTCTAATACAATTGGACCTCTCTATAACAACATCCCTAAGCATCCCTATATAACAACATTTCACTATAAAAGTCAAGTTTTTCTGGAACCTATTTTCATGTTATGTTATAATATATATTCTATATAACAGCACTTCACTATAACATCCAAAAATATTCGGAACAAATGAAGTTGTTATAGAGACTGTATTAATAGAACACTTTAACTTGGTGTGACAAAAGCTTGGCGCCACAAGAGTTCTTCGGCAGGACATTATTTAGTCACGTTGATATTATGTTGTAGCGTAATCTTGAAAATAGCAGTTCTCACTGCACTGGTTAATACAATGGATTGTTTTTCCAAGTCAATACCGTGGATTGTTTCTAGCAGGTAAATACCATTTACTCTCAGTTGTTTTCCACTTCCTTGCTTGCATAGCAGCTAATTGGAGGGACAACACAGAAAATTGAGAACCAAAAAGGCAGACAGATTTCTTTAATACAACGTGATAATGGGGGAAGTACTTCAAAATTATCGTCTTAACAGTAAAATTATATTAGTAATGAGTGCGTTTTAATTCCAATTATGAAATGGAAATTAGCACTTGGCAACGTTTTCTTTCTAATAATGAAGCAAATTATTGTAATAAATTTACAGATCTTATGATGTAAAAAGTTTCGAAAATTGAGGGTTAGAAGAAGGGAGGAATAACTCATCACAAAAACTTCCCGTACACATAGCAGTTAAGCATGAACTCCATCTAGATTACTAGCAGAGACCAACGCCATAAAGCTATATGTATCAGAGCAAATACATATATAACGATAATACACATTCTTTTCATTGATTTTAGGACCACACCCAAGAATAGAGGTGTTTGAGGCAATCTACAGCGCTTAAGAGCAACTTCTGAGATAAGATGCATGCGAATATACAGGGACACTCAAGATACAAAATTATTTCTGAGAGTTAGTTTCTTTCATATGGATATACAGAGGAGTGAAGAACACTGGGAGTTGCTTCAAGTATCTAGGAACCATGAACAGTAGAAGCACTACATATTCATAAATATCCTATAAGCGAGTCATGCATAGCCTGCCCCAGAAGAACTTTTTGTGATATCCTTGTCACTTTTGGAAGTTATATGCCTCTTTTCACTTCATCTGTGAAATCTCAATCTACAGATCAATCGATTGTGATCTAAGAAGCAAGGGTCGTAATTAGAAGATGTTCAATTGGTTCCAAGCTCCACAAGAGGTTGCTACATTGGTGGAGAGTCTCCCTTGACAGAATGTGGACAAAAATCTGTCACATTGTCAGCTGCCCTAATGTTCTTGAGAAGATAAAACAGCTCAGTAGTTATATCTTCTTCTAGTAGGTGGATTCCGGTGGCAAAATTCAGGTTATTGTTCTTGCTTACATCGTCATCGTCAAAACGCTTTCTTCCCATTTTATTCAATTCATTCGGAAGCTTTAGTTCTTCAACCAACTCTTGATCAACAAACTTTGATGTCGGGGGCGCTGGGGGTGGGGTGGGTGGGAGCACGCAGAGCCCCAGGACCAACATTTAACATCTGTCTTTAAGCGGTTAGGACACTCGTTATACCAGCATTTCATCAATGGAATCTATTCTCATATGCTTTTCAACTTCAGAGGCTTCAGCCATATTGATCAGAGAGGATTGTACTGGCTTGGTTGTGGATGAAATTGCATTATCAATTCTGTTGTCAACATTCTGTAATCTAGGACTAACTTCTGGCTCTATAGAGTTGCAGCATAGGTCATTCTGCTGGTTCTTCAAGCATTGATCTAGAGACTTCTCAGCTGGAGCTACATAGAGAGGCTGTGGTTGCTCATCCACCATAGTTGCACAATCAGCTTTGTTCAAGACATCATCTTCAAAACTGTTTGAATTTGCAAATGATGTGTCTGTAGAAGGAAGATTCTTCGTCGTCTCCAGCTCCTCACCAATCATGACACCTCCATTCTCAGCAAACACATCAGCTGATGTGACCTCATCAAGGGAAAACAATTGAGTCGCACAAGCGGAGATGGATAATGGGCTAGTTTCCATCTCAACAGGAGAATTTTCCACAGAAGGTACTATGTCTGCACAAGTGCCGTTTTCAGTACATACCCGATCAATCTGGCCACCACTCAAATTATCAGTGGCAGAACTCGAATGCTGGAGCTCAGTCAGACCACCTACCACATAGGGTAATGTGTCTGTTCTATTGCTCGCATTCACCACTTCTGTGTAGTGACCAGGTGTGGCAGCAGTCAGCTGAAGTCCTTGTCGCTTGAACTGGCCACTTCCAGGACCAAGTTGAGCATTCAACTGCGTCTGCACCCAGACTGCTAGAGATAGTGCATGATCACGAATCAAAGAATCATAAGGTGGGCAGTGTAACATATCAACCAAAGCCTGCATATATTGGAACATACTGGTCGATGGAGTAATAGACCCTTTGTCACGAAGATATTTAATGCTTTTGAGAGTATGTTCACATAAGTTTCCCATTTTTGCCCAATTACAATCACAAATTGCATACTCTGAAGCTGGACTCCGAACAACATGCAGTTGATGCCGATCTTCCTGATCAACTACGTTTGAATAGTCACCCTCAACTAACACATCAGAATCTGGAATCTGCAAAGATTTCTGCCAAGCTGTTAAGCCACTCATCCATTCATTCTTCCAGTAACGTGCAAACTCATCCTTTCCTGAGTACTCATCAAGCCAGAAGTAAGAATGCACTGTGGTATCTAGCTTATCTACAAGCCAATCAGCACGTTCATATACACTTATTTCCTTCTCATTCAATAATCTAAGCTTCAATTGGTTGTGATAATACTCCATCGCCGAGCATGTCTCCTGGCTGGCAAGAGGAAGAGTTCTCAATGCACTAGTCCAGAGCCCTGGGTAGACAAAATCCGTCAGCAAATAAAGCCCCAAAGAAGAACCAACTAATTTTCAAACAGGAGTCTAAGAGAATTATTTCAAGCACTCTTGAAGAATAATGCGTTTTAGCAGAATATCACTAAGCTAGCACTTCTTTTTGTAAGGTGAGGATTCTCAAACGTGAAAGATTGCATGTATATCCACTATGAAGGAGTTGCTCAACCTATACATAATTTAGAATTTAAATGCTTAACAGCTGTTAGCTATCTGGGGTAAACTGAAAGATCATTCTGTGGTTGAAGATTTGATAAGAGCTTTTGGACTCTATTCAGACTTAAAGACTTTTTTTTCTTAAAGAGACTTAGACTGTTATTGTATATACTTCTGTACATCAGTACTTCCTTGGTGCTTTTCTTTTTAGTAATGATATATTTCTGATCTGGAGACAGACACGCTACCATTGCGCCACGGATCCTAGCTAAATTAGTAATAATATCTTTACTTTATTCATCAAAAAGAAATATCCACTATAGACATAGACAAAAATATGCAACTACTTATTGGAACATGTGCATAAGGTATCCATCATAGGAAAACATCATGCAGTATATTGATAGGATTCAGAATTCAAATATTGACAACTTTTGAGATACTATTGTTTCTCGTAGAAGTGTGTGAAACGTCTAGGATATTCCCAAACAACTGTTACACAATGTGGACAATGGGAGCATTAGTTTAAATTCAGGTTAGTCATGGATCTGAATCAGATTAGCAGCGTGTCAAATGAGTTGAGCAAAAAACCTGTTTCATAGATAAACAATTTTTTTTGTAGTGACACAGGAATCTGATTTACTGAATAGTATGCCTAACCTAGTCTCGGGTACCATGTGGCCTTGAAATAGTCCAAAAAGTCTGCAGCATCCACGAAATCTTCCATAAATTCTTCAAACAAAACAGCAATTCCATCCCCCCTGCAGATGTGATGCACTGCCTGGCCTAGCCTCTTTGCAATTGCAGCACAGGTCTCCATTTCTGAGCATTTCTTAATCAAGTTCTTATGCCATGCATGACGAACCCGCCAAAAGCATATCAATACAGAGCACTGAAACACTTCCCTGAGTGACAAGCAAGAAAGTACACAATTCATGCAAGAAAATATCAAGATAAAGAAGTGGATGACCAGGAGCCACAATCTTAAACTGCGCAATCTAGTACCCAAAAATAATTGGCAGAACCACAATTCATGAGTGACTGAGAAAATACATAAAGAAAAACTAAGAGAAATGCCTAACATTCAGCTTAACCTTCCACATACTGAGTGAGCAAAGTATGCCTTAATAGTTTCATCATTCATTTAAAATTTGATATACTCTTCAACTTTTGGTGGATGAACAAGACTATTTAGATGTAGAAGCAGGGACCAGATAAAGTGCTGATCGTTTTCAAATTCACATCTGTCAATAAAAAACTTCATGGTTAGTTGTGCATCAGACACTGGTTTATTCTATTCTTCATTAGTTCAAACCATTCAAACCGAACCAACAGAGCAACATTGAAATTTCCAGCCTATTTTACGCATTCATTTGCTAATATCCCAATCAACAAGTCTACAACAACAATTACGCCTCAATCACAAATAAGTTAGAGTCGGCTAATGAATCCTCACTGACCATGTTCCTCAATTAAATTCATCTCAGGCCAACATTATAAAAAATCCAAAAGAAAAAGTACCAGAAGTTCTCTATATTTCTTACTAGCATAAGAATTTCATAGGGCTAAAGACTCCAAGAAAGCGTGACCAAATTATAAAGTAAACATATTTAACATGACTAAAATGTATTCCCAACTAATTGATATCGCCTGTATAAATCTTTTTCTTCTATTGTGCCCTATTAAAGTAATAGCCTCTCTCTGAGCCCAAAAGATAGATGGAACTGGTGCAACTCTAGTTTGCCATG